AAATTTACTGCAGAATAAGCTTAGGAAAACTTAAGTATATTTAGTTACTTCCAATTTTGGTCAATGTTCCCTTAGAAAGGAACTCTAAAATGTAGGGTAAATGTTGAGGTTTATTTTAAATTTTGTTACGTTCTTACTTTAATAAACCAACTCTTGTTTCATGTCTAAGAACTGTGACAAATAAAGAACATGTTCAGTCACAACATTCTGTAAAGCTTTGTGTAAAAGAAATAAAGAGCTTGAAGAAAAAACTTCTATAAATCATCCTTGTCATGAAAATTTACCAAGTGTCTTTTGGTTGGAAGCATGACGTTTGCTATGAATAACTAAAGAAGGATTTTTGTGGTGGCAGATGTTACTCATGGGTTGGCAAAAGCATTAACTAAACAAGGTAGCAAAGATGTAACAGTTTATTAGGATGCTGTTGAGAGACAGCTGAGGCACAAGAGAGGACTGGTGACCCAAGATTAGGATTAGGAAGGGCCTCTATAGAAGTAATAGACTACATGGAAATATTTGGTAGATTAGTTCTTCCTTATGGTTTCGAAACCAGAGTTCTAATACTCCAGGCACAAACTGCTAAAGTTCCCCGTGCAAGGTCTGGCCAGTCCTCTATGCATTAAATAAAGGGATATACAGGGTAAAAGAAGGAGATTGGTTACATAGCATGCAAAAGATAGGAAGACAGAATTTAACCCATCTTTAGTAGTCTTCAGGGTACTGACAGTAGATCTAGGTTTAAATAGACAAAGAACTGTGATTAGGGAAAGAACTATGCATAATATTTAAGTGTTTCTAGTCACTGCTGTTGGTCCATTATATCTGTGTTTGTTTCCTAAGGCCTTGCAGAGGAGTAGGTATCACTTTATCACTTGATGGGAGTGAACTATTCTTAGGTGCTTGGTGGTTGATCTATTTGAAATTCTAATGTTGGGGAAGATTTCCTTTTTGAAAACTGTATGTTATTGTAAAGATGATGTACAGAGGGGTTACAGTTACATAAGTAATGAGTACATTTCTTTTTAAAAAACAAAGGTGAGTATTTTATCAGCAATCCCACAGTTGTTAAATTTAAAACTGCAGTAATAAATAACTTTAGATGATTGATTCAAAGATACAAACTATCAAATCTATGTAAGGAAGAAAGAGGCAATCAAATTGAATCTATATATATTAGTTAACTTACATTTAAATACATTACAATCAAGAGAACCCATGGTATTGATGAACTTGTTACTGATTCTAAAACTTTGAAGGTCATTTTGATTCTTCAAAAATTTTCTTTAGAAATTGAAGAAATAATATTTGCCCACATAAAATTTATTTTTTTATTGTAAGGGTGATGTACAGAGGAGTTACAGTTACATATGTAAGGTAATGAGTACATTTCTTATTGAACACTGTTATCCCCTTCCTCATTTTCTCCCACTTTCCCTTCCCTCTACTTCCCTCTCCACCCCAAGTTGTAAAGTTTGTTTCCAAAATGTCTTGTGAGTATTACTATTACATTGGCTCATCCTTTGTCCTTTGTCTCACCACTTTGTTCTTCCCCTTCCCTTCCCCAAATCAGATATACATTTATACAAGACACAAAGTACCAACATAAAAAACAGTGACAAAATGGAATAAACCAAGGGATAAATGAAGGAAAAGAAGAAATAACTTCACACAGTACAATAAAATAGAAAATTCTAAACAAAACCTAAAAACACTTGTTTCCATATGTTGGAGTTCATTTCGATTAGCATCATTTGATATGGTCATAAGATTAGTACATTTCTTTTTTAGCAGTTTTACCTCCTTCCTCATTTTCTCCTGCTTTCCCTTCCCCTACTGTCTCATACCCCCAAGTTGTAAAGTTAATTGTCAATATAGTGTCTATATCATTGTAGCATTGGTTCACTCTTTGTCCAAATGTTCCTGGGATTCCTCTACCCTTCCCCAAAACAGATAAACTGTATTCATGACAAAGGGCAACAAAAATCAGAAATCATGAACATACAGAATAAATCAGAGAAGAAAAAAGCAAAACAAAAGAAATAACTGCAAACAGTACACTTTAAAAAATGAAAGAAAAAGAAAACAACAATAGCAACAAAAAAATTAACCCTCCTTGTGGCCAAATCGTGAAGAACTTTTTTTTTTTTGTTTTCTTTTTTTTATTGTGAAAATCTCGTACAGAGGAGTTACAATTACATCGGAAGATAATAAGCATTTTGTTTATCATCATTTTATAAGGTCATATATACAGAGATATTGGGCTATTGTGAACCTCTACTAGGACTATCCTGGGCATATACTACTTATTACGGATGAGGAAAACCATGAGCCTATGTTTCTTTGGTTCTGGCTTACTTCACTTAATATAATTTTTCCAAGTCTTTCCATTTGCTTACGAATGGGACAATTTCATTCTTTCTCATGGAAGCACAGAATTCCGTATGTGTGTGTGTGTGTGTGTGTGTGTGTGTGTGTGTGTGTGTGTGTGTGTGTGTGTATCACATTTTCTTGATCCATTTATCTAATAAGGAACATCTGGGTTGGTTCTATATCTTAGCTATACTAAATAATGCTGCAGTGAACATAGTTGTGCTGGTAGCTTTAGTGTGGATAAATGTCCAGGAGTGGGATTGCTGGGTTATAGGGGAGCTCTATGTTTAATCTTTTGAGGAACCTCTATATTGCTTTCCTGCATGGTTGTCTAAACTTGCCTTGCCTTGGCAAGACTCCTTATTTCACTCCTAAAAATGAAGTCTTTTTCTCAGCTCTTGTGGTTGTTAGTGCTCTGGATCCCTGGTAAGGGCAAAGGAAGATGAGGAATGAGAGTGAGATGGAAGGGTGAGCTCTCAGGCCCCTTTGTGCCCTATCCATGTGCTAGATGTGCAGATCTTATCATGATGGGCAAGTGACATTTAGGTCTGGGAAAATAAGGAAGTTTCCAAAAAGAGCTTGATCCTTTGTTTGGCTGAAGACTCTGCTAGGTGGGAATACCACTGGTGCCACCTAGAGACACATTTATGCTTTAAAAATGTCTCATTTTTACAAATACTTAGTATTTTAGATTCTGGTTTAAATCATGAAATATGAGTAATAGGCAAATATATATCAAATTAGATGTAATAAATGTATATGCCCCTATACTTGTACATAACCTTGCACTTCTAACTTATTCTAATTTCAGGATGCAGTAGAGATATTGTGTTGACCCAGACTCCAATCTCCCTGACTGCCACACTGGGAGAGTAGGCCTCCATCTCCTACAGGGCTAGTCAGAGCCTCCTAGAGAGTGATGATGCTTATCTGGCATGGTATCTGCAGAACTTTGGCCAGTCTCCCCAACTCCTTATCTATGGAGTTTCCAACTGAGCATCTAGTATCCCAGTCAGATTCAGTGGCAATGGGTCAGATACAGATTTCACACTGAAAATCAGCAGGGTGGAGCCTGGGGATGTTGGAGTTTATTACTGCTTTCAAGATACACATTTTCTTCCCACAGTGATACAGCCCTGAACTAAAACCTCCCATCTGACTGGGTGAGTTACTTTCATGGGTTACTTGTCCAGGGGCACAGCAGAACAGATTGAGTGTACGTAGGACATTCATACAATGGTCAATGTGAGAGTGACTCTGAGAGTAGAAGAGTATGTGGCTACCTACAATTTACAAATACCAAGAAAATAATCATGGAAGAACAAATCCAGGAGACTTCAGATCAACCATGGGGTATTAATTGAAAATATTCCTTGTGTCTAAAGTAGCATTATGGCTAGCTAGCAATATAAAGAATCAAATGTCTGCTGCAATGTAAGTTTGTTGCCTTTGTAATAAAAATTATAGTAATTCCATCAAGCACACCATCTTGGTCCATACCTATAGCATATGCTTCAGTTTCTATTCAGAATCTGGAAGCCCAGTTATGCATTTTCTAGCTGCTCTCTGTGTTTCCCAAGTCTTTCCTGACCATCAAACTATTAGCAGAGTTTGATAACTGTCCTTTGGCTGTATCAACCTGGAACAGCTACAGTACTGGACTTTGTACAGTGGTCCCTGGCCTTCTGTATCCTGGTACTCTGGTACTTTAAAAGGGAGAGTCTGGAGAAACCCTGTAATAGTGTTCATAGGTTCCAGAGAGTCTGAGATTGAGCTCTTGTTCAATGGACATACCATTCACTGCCCTACCTGGTCAGCCTTTGTGATTTTATTTGAAAAACTATGGCATGAGGGAATCATCAATGTATTAGTTTGTCTTTTATCTACTTTGATCACATTAAATAATGTCATTTTCTTGTAATGAGCCTTTCAGAAGCTTGGACTATGATACTGCACAGCCGAGGACTCGAGGATTGTCTGGCCTCCACCAGTGTCCAGTGTGCATCTGCCTCCGGTGGTGTAAACTGTTTTACTGTGATGCTCTCAAAGCCATCTCTGAAACTAAAGGATGAAGTTGGAGATACTATGATGCCACTGAGATAACATTCATAGGAGAAATACGATCTGCAATGTATGTGAACTAATGGAATAATTCATGCAACTTATGGAAATTTCTAACAAATTGTATCCACAACTGTATTATTCTGCACAAGATTAGTATCACAGGTAGAGAGATGGTTTTTACTCCTCAGTTAGCCCATTTTAGATTGTTTCTATTTAAACCATCACTCTCTCTCTCTCTCCCTCCCTCTCTCTTACACACACACACACACACACACACACACACACCAGTATCAGTTCATTTCTTTTCTTTTCTTTCCTTTTTTGCCAGTCCTGGGCCTGAATTCAGGACCTGGGCACTGTCCCTGAGCTTCTTGGCTCAAGGATAGTGCTCTACCACTTGAGCTGTAGCACCACTTGTGGCTTTTTTTTCCCCTGTGGATGTGGTACTGAGAAATTGAACCCAGGGCTTCATACATGCTAGGCAAACACTCTACACTAAGCCACATTTCCAGCCTTTTCTATAACAAAGCTAAGCTCTGAATAAAGAAGAGTTTTGTTTAACTCACAGTTTTAGATGCAGAAAGCCCTAGATGTAATATTCTCATCAGTGTTCTCATCAGGTGATGGCTGTCGTGTCTGTGGGAAAATATGGTGTGTCTATAAAAAGAGAACTCGCTGCAAGTTGAAGTGGTCAAGCATATGATTGTCTTCCTTTTATCACAAACAACTACTGTTGAGCCTACTCTCACTTCAGGAGATCAACTTTAATCCTCCAGAGTTCAGGAACTCCCCTGATGTAATCACATCCTACAAGACACCTTTTCCAATAGCCAAGTGGAGACCCTTGGGACATCAGTACAAGCCTCCTTCTCCAGATGCTCCCGCTTCCCAGGTGATGCGCTGCCTCAGATAGGCCAGCATCATTGGAGACAAGAAGAAGACAATGAAAACTCTGAGATAATTATGCAAATATTGGTTAAATTAGATTGAGACTAGAGACATTAAGATGTTAAATACTAATTTAAGTTAATCATAAATTATATGTGTATGATTATGCATCAGAAGTTACACAAAGGGGTTTTACCTCAGCATGTCAGTGTTTGAGTGCAATGCATCTTGATCAATTTCACCCTTCCATTACTTTCTAGAGGGAACATTCAATAAACCCTTTAATTAATTTGCTGTACAAATATAGTGAAGAACAATGAAAGGATATTTAGTGGATTTTAAAAATTGTTACATTTAATATATATATTCCCATTCTCTGATATAAATATTCTACCATTTTACTTTTCCCTTATAAGTTCCAATATCTGTATTATTAGTTCACTATCTATAAGAGAAAATTGTGTTCTCTTTGACATTTCTTTACTCTAAGTCTTAATAGGAAGTTCTTTGGAAACAGAATTTCTAACAATTGTAGATATTATCCTTGCTTCTTCTTATCCGTCAACGCTGTGCTCATATTTTGGTCAATTCCCTGAGGATCAGAGCTGCTGACAGTGTGCACTATGTCTTTCTCTAGACTAGCTGAGGGAAGTCAGCAGACCCGGGCCCAGTGTCCATTCTTTCCAAAAGACTGTCCTGGACTTAAACATACATATAGTATGGTGGTAGGAACATGTACACTCTCTGGAACCTGCAGTTCCAGACTTTCAAAGTGGGTCCCTCCTAGTACCACAGGTATCATGGATTTTTATTGATTATCATCAAACTCAGAACACACTTGACACTTTTCTCAGAAGAGCAGGCTTTACCTTTCCTTTTTCTTTTCTCACACTGCTGCACCCACCTGGTTATTTGCATATTGCTCTCTAAAGAGGACCTTCCTTTCTAAATCTGAGATAAAGACTCAGCTCTGAACTTGCCTTGGCCTGTCAAGACTCCACATTTTACTCCAAAAATGAAGTCCTTGTCTCAGCTCCTGTGGTTGTTAATGCTCTGGATCCCTGGTAAGGACAAAGGGAGATGAGGAATGAGAGGGGGCAGAAGGGAGAGCTCTCAGGGCCCAGTTGTACTTTATCCATGTGTTAGATGTTCATGATAGGACAAATAATGTGTAGGTCTGAGAGAGTGAGAAACATTCCAGAGTGAGTACCAGTGCTTGGGTAAAGACTGCTAGGAAGGAATACTGTCATTGACTTCTACAGACACTTTTGTGCATCAAAAATATATCTTTTTAATATTTAGTATTTTGAGTTTATAAATCAAATCATGACTATGAATAAGAAGCAATATTTACCTAAATAATAGTAATAAGCACATGGTTCTCTATGATTATATATAACCTTGCACTTCTGTTATTCTAATTTCAGGTTCCAGTGGAGATGTTGTGATGACCCAGACTCCGAGTTCCCTACCTGTCACCCTGGGGCAGCTGGCTTCCATCTCCTGCAGGTCCAGTCAGAGTCTCCTGCATAGTAATGGAAACACCTATTTGGAATGGTACCTGCAGAAGCCAGGCCAATCTCCACATCTCCTGATCTATTTGGTTTCCAAACGAGCATCTGGGGTCCCAGACAGATTCAGTGGCAGTGGGTCAGGCACAGATTTCACACTGACAATCAGCAGGGTGGAAGCTGGGGATGTTGGAGTTTATTACTGTTTTCAAGGTACACATGTTCCTCCCACAGTGATACAGCCTTGAACAAAAACCTCCCATCTGGCTGGGTGAGCCGCCCTCATGGCTGGCTGGTCTGGGGAGCAGCCCAGCAGATTGTGTGAGTCTGCCTAGGAGGAAGATGTTGAGATCAATGTAAGAGTGACTCTGAGTGGAAATGCAATCAAGAAATTTAAATTATAGACCACAAAATTAAGAAAGAAAGGGTCAGAGTGGGTAAGGGGATTGGGGAAAACATTGAAAGGGGTGACATTGACCAAGATACATAATATTCATATATGGCTTTGTACAACTACCAAAAGATCATTTAGAAAACTAGATGTGGCACTAAAAGTTTTCACTCTCTCTATGTTAGGAAGCACTAGCCTCTGTGTATTTATCTATACAGTCGACTGATCTATGATGCATTTTTACACTTTCATTCCATAAATATACATTTAATTCGTATTTCTATAAAACAAAGAAATTGTACTCTAGGTTTTATTTACAACCCCAAATCAGAGTTCATTCCACTATTTTCCCTTTTTTATTTCTGTAATACTTTTGCAACAGTGAAAATTTTGTTTCTAATTATATTTGCTGAATTTCTTTCTTTTTTTTTTTTTTTTTTTGGGTCCAGTTGTGGGGCCTGAACTCTGGGCCTGGGCGCTGTCCCTCAGCTCTTCAGCTCAAGGCTAGCGCTCTACCACTTGAGCCACAGCGCCACTTCCCGCTTTTTTTCTTTTTGCTTATATGGTGCTGAGGAATCGAACCCAGGGCCTCAGGCTTGCAAGGCAAGAGCTCTACCACTGAGCCACCTTCCCAGCCCCTATTTGCTGAATTTCAATATCTGATTATTCCTTTTAATCCTAATTTCCTACTGTATGTGTCACCTATACTTCTTTTGAAGGCAATTTACTTCACATGCTTCTACAACTATGATAGCCCTGATACCCCTTTCCTAACCCCAATGATCCTTGTCCCTTTCTTTGTGCCTTTGTCCTACTAATGTGTTCTTTACCAATATTAGTTCTGGCTAATCCTTGTCAGCCTAAACTTTGTGTGTATGCCTCTGTGTGTGTGTGTGTGTGTGTGTGTGTGCACTGAAGTTGTTCCCCTTTTTGTACAATTCTGTGGGGACAACCTCAACACATTGCACTCTAACTTCAACAGCCTGAGATCTTCTTTCTCTTAGCATAATGTAGATATGCTTTCCATATTTTGGATCTCAACACTTTGAGCAACATTCTACCTTATCCTTTCGTTTTATTCCTTGGATTATTTTCAGAACCTGGTTGCCTCCCATGCTCTAAACAAAACCATTAAATATTACTTTCTGTTTGGAACAAAATTTAAAAATATAAGTGATATAAGTATATGCAAGTTTTCTTGGAACAATTGGATTAAATGATACAATTAAATTTATGATGTAGAGAACATCTCATTCCTTGACTTATGTATAATCTTTAAGTAAAGATAAATAGGATTCATGGAGTCAGTCATCCATGCATTTAAGAGATAAATAACATAAAAATGCCATATGACAGAGCTAAAAAGAACCAGAGGATCTGCAGAGGTGGGAAGAAAATGGTTTGTGATGTTGGATATTCTAGAAAGAGGTGATAGGAAAGAGTATTCAGAAGTGGAGGGCAACATCCACACATCTGGAGATGACAAGAACAAATGACAATGTTTGAGCTCCTATATATAGATCGTGACACTGTGTTTCATGTAATTATAATTTTCTCTATTTTATACTTCTATCTATAGGGACATGTCTGTGGATATCTATGAATTATCTGTTTATCAGTCTATGTATCGTCTATTTATCTGACTTTCTATGCATCTTTCTGAAGCATGTCTCTTTGTTTATCTATCTGCTTAGATCTCATTTGCCACTTACTGCTTGTGATAATGATTTATTACACAGAGAGCATCAGACATTGAGAAAGAAAAGGGAATCTCTTTGGTCTCAGCAATAGTCACAGTTCCCAAATTCAGCAGAACTACTTAAATTTCTTAACATTTTCCTCATATGATTCCATAATAAGATGTCTTAGATTTTCAAAGTTACCAAGAAAGGATGCCAGGACCCATGAATTGAGCAGAAGACACTACCCATAGGATGCTAGAGTGATTCTGCCCTGTGGTTCTCAGGACAAAACAGGTTCTGTTAGGCAACTCTGTTCAATTCTGGCATGATCCAGATAGTCTGAGGACTCAGAACTCTTCTGGGCTGTATAAGATAAGATAGCCCTTTCTTTGCCCACTCCTATCTAGCTCCTGCTGATTTTTATGGGTCCAGAACACAGTCCTTTGTCTTAAGAATTTCTGAAAAAGCTGCTTCTCTGTGCAAGAATCATTTTCAGTCACAACACATCATGGACCTGAGGGTCCCTGCTCAGTTCCAAGGGATCCTACTAATCTGGCTCCCGGGTAAGAAAGGACAGCAATGGGAATTTCATCAGCACAATGTGGTCATGAAACATGAAACATGCATAATTTTGTGAATATTGGATTCTGTGTTTCTATGTCAGGGACCAGATATGACATCCAGTCTCCATCCTCCCTGCCTGTATCTCAAGGAGACAAGTCACTAACACTTGCCAGGACAGTCAGGACATTAGCTAAAACTGACATTAGTATCTGAAGAAACCAGGGAATCCTCCAAGGCTGTTAATCACTTATTTATCCAATTTGTACTATGGGGTCCCATCGAAGTTCAATGGCAGTGGATCTGGGACAGATTATTTTCTCATCATCAGCAGCCTAGAATCTAAAGATGACACCACTTATCACTGTCAAGAAGAATATAAAAGTCTTTCCAGAGTGTTACAAGTCATCAAACCTTCCAGCAAAGCAGATACCTGAGGCTAGGCTGCACCAGCTGCGCCCCCTGGTGTTTCTGTTATTCTCAGACACAGTCAGATGCTCAAGTTCAGTAAGTTGTTTTGCTAGAAGAACGTCTGTGAACTTCTGTTTTATTTAAACACCCTTTCCTTCTCTTCATCCCAGAAAGGCCTTCAGAACAAAGTCTCTTCTTA